AATTCTAAATTCTATTATCTTTCATTTGAATTTGAATATAATTTTAGAATTTCAAACAACATTGCACTTGTTTGACGGATTTAGATGCTCTTTTCATAGATTCTCAAATTGACATAGCTTACTACCCAGTCCTTCCTACTTCCTGATCCACTCACCACTTTCTCCTGCTTCTCTCACCTTCAACCTGTCTGCCCTTGCCTATAATTTCTCTAGTAAGGAGAGTTAGAGGTGAATATGAATAGATAAGACACTTTCTCAAAATTATATCTGTTTAGCTAGTTTAGTGACATTTTATCTTTTAACATCACTGGGAATGGAAATAGGGGTAGTGTGGCATTGGCAAGCATTGATATCTAATTGGCAGATACCAGCCTATACTAGCAGACTATACTTTGGCAAAAGCCTTATGTTCTCGGATCTAGGCATGGGTAATTATACACATAGATACACACCCTTGCTACAAGTACTTAACAATGTCACTGTTCATTAGCTACACATCTAGATTGATATCTCTCTTGCTTATAAGTACATGGTTAAGAGCATAACAAGACAACCCATCTACCTTAACATATCAGTTCTGATATTCATGCTTAAGAAAACTTCACCTCATTGAATTTATTTTAAGTCAAGTTTGATGGATGGCTTTGAAAGCCACAGCATAGGAACTAAAACTCATGAGAGTTTCAGGCTCAGGTGTTTTGATTTTTTTTTTTCCTTTTCTTTTAAAGCTATAGCCACTTCATCACTGCTGTCAAGTAAGGGCTTGGTATGATGAGAAAATTAGAGAAGAAAGCCGGAAAAGCTCTTTTGTTGCTTAGGGACTTTTGTTCATATCTGATTATATAGCATGTTAACAAACTTCTCTTTAGAAAATGATGTAAAACATGTCTGTAAATATATATACTTTATATGATTAAAGGCAATGCCTGGTAAAGAAGGTTAATTAATCTTTTTTTTTTTAAATTAAATGTAGCTTGTATGTGGATCTTGGTATAAATGAGGAAATAGCTATGCTATAAGTTTTCATTTGATTTTACAAAACTTTATACATTGAATAATCGTTTTCAGTAAAAATTACAAAACAACTATTTTTTTAAAGGCCTCTCAGCTGAAATGGTTTAAAGTTATGGTACTTCTGGTAAAGCCAGATGATAAGAAAGTGTAAAAAATAAACCCAAAATCTCAAATACTTGCAATAAGTATTTACTGTTCTCATTCCCACTGGCCTATGGATCGGCTGAGATTCACTTGGTCATGTCTGTTGGCACCAGGCTCCAGTACTGTTTGGGTCTGGTCTTTTTGTAGAATTCTAGGCTACCCTGGAATTACTACATGTCATGATATACCTTGTGGCCCAGGATGTGCTCTCCCATGGTGAAGGGAGAAGCACAAAGCAGGAAGCATAAAACACACAAGGCCTCTTAAGACCTCAACTCAGAACTTGAGCACTGTCACACCGCTAGCACTCAATTAGCTAAAGCCAGTCAGTGGCCAGCCCCAATACCCATGGGGCAGGGAAAATATACATTACCCCATCCAGTGGGAGGAGCTACAAAGGCAAATGGAAGAGGGCTTGTTTTCATAATCATAATGCAGGGAAGGAGTAAAGATGTGGAAACAATAACCCAGTATGCCACAGATTTAGATTGCATTTTGGAAAGTTAAGCTGTGGACACTGCTTCCAGTTTTAAATGGCATATTACCTTTCCTTTCTATCTGCTTCTGTTGTTTTGATAATTGACAGCAAAACCCCAGTCTGATGTTATAGGTTAGCATCAGGAAGTGCAGCTCATCGTTTGAGTGGTTGGGAAAAGCACAGACTTTCAAAGTGGTATCCAGGTAAGTCACCCTACCTTTACTGTGACTGTGCTATATGTTGTATTAACAGTGGTCAGTTTAGAGTTAATCTGTCTGTGTACATGTGATCAAACTGTTAAATTGTCTATGGGGAGCAGATAACCAATGAATATTGAGTAAAAGCAGATTTTGATTATGATATACACATGAAAGGGAGAGACAGATGATTAAATTGATAAGAATTTTTTAAGCTTTTCACAAAATGTTCAATGAAAATCTAACACCCTCAAAATCTGTTCAAAAACTTACTGTATAAACTTCTGTTCTGTTCTTTCAAATGGTGACTATGTCCTATGTCCTAACCTACTTTGTCGCACTTTGGATACTTTTTTATGCTGTTGGTCATTTCCTGTCATAATGATTCTTACCAAAATTATTACATGTCATGGTATACCTTTCATGTTTTCTTCATAGGGATATTGTCTGGTTAAACATTAGGTATTAGAAAGTGGCCCTTTGAAATTGAAACCATTTCCAAAATGAAGTTACTTCTCTTTGCTGCTGCTTAAAGTTTACATTGTCTTTTCCTCTACATCAACAGTGAATTGGGTTGTATACCTCCGCTCATTGATGCATTGTTGAATAGCCTCTGCTGGGTGAGTGAGTGTGTTTGCATGTGTATGGCACTATGCCACCACAGCTCCTTGTGCCTTATCTAAGGACCCCCAATCCTTGTTATTGTGAGGATTTATTACTCTCTGGGTGACATAAGCAGTTTGTGATCGGCTGCTAACTGAAAAGTTGGTGGTCCAAAACCACTCAGTGGCTCTGCAGAATTAGGTCTAGCAATCTGCTTCTGTAAACATTACAGCAAGAAAACCCCAGGGAGCAGTTCTACTGTGTAATACAGGGGGTCACCATGAGTTGGGGCTGGCTCAACTGCAGCTAGCAACAATAAATACTCTCTTATACTTAAATGATGAGCTTATACTCACCAGACAATGTGCCTTTGATGATACAGATGTCTTGCATTTGATATTTTGTTGTACACTGTGTTCTTTGTGATGTAAATATTATGTTTTATATTGCTTGGCTAATCTGTACAAACTTTGCCCAAGGCCAACAGCTGCTCCAAAGTAAAAATGAAAAGTGGAGGGATTGAAAATGAGGAATGTGACTGGAAATTAATAAATTTCCACAGATGAGGTAGCACGGTAGGAATATGCCATAAATAGAAAAGGTTTATTTCTTCCTTTCCTGCCAAATATGAACAGATATATTCTAGGAGAGGGTTGAACATATAAATAGAAGTTAAAAAATATCTGAGCTTTAATTGCTTCATCTCTTATAGTATTGGCAGCATTACTTCTCAAGACCATCATGAGGGTAAAATGGAGGTGTTTAGCAAAGTGCCTCCTCCTCTAGATTCTTTCATTCAACTTTTGTATGTCTTCTGAGTAGGGTTGGGGCACTCGATAGAATGTAAGGCTCTAAACAAAAGTCCAAGAAGTATCCTGTCTATAGGCAACAGGCAGCAAGGGACATATGAAGTCAAGGAGGCCAGGTGAAGATGGAAATCATTCTGATGTACCTCGCCAGGTGAAGGAAGAGACTGGCTATGACTTGGACACCCTAGTCTGCAGAGACGAGAGTAGATGTATGAGGCCATGCAGCATCATTTTTCAGTGGCTGTAGAAAGGTGTTTATTAGACATCCTGCCAGAAGGCAACTATAAAGACACTGATCTGTGTCATCTTTCACTCTGAAGTGTGATAGGAAACCAACCAACTGAACAAGCCAATGCAAAGCAAAACCTTCACTGTTTCAAATTTTCTTTCTTCTAAAATGCTACTCAGATATAAAGGAAAAACATGTTATTCCAAAGTCCCTTTGTTAGCTGACTTATTTTTCAGCTCAAGTTCTGGTAACATAGATATTCAGCATGGCAGAAGTAGGTGTCTGATTCTGGGTCACTGCCAAACAGATAACATTACAGGGATTATGTGTAATAAACACCCTGTCTTATGCCCAACAGTGATCTCTACTGCAAAACTCGGTTGAGCCTAAACCCTTGACTTCTGTCTGGTTGCTTAATATTTTGCCAAGATTGAAAACAATACTAGGAATTTGAGATCTACATGGGACTTTAGAGGTGATCTAATATAGTGTTTTCCAAACTGTGTTTCAGTAGAGCATTAGTGACCTACAACATATTAATAAGTATCCCTTGAAAAATGGGTTCCAGACAGTGTTAGAGTTATATACTAAAAGAAGTTTTAATATACTAACATGAGTCTTGGTTTTCCAAGGGGAACAGCCTGCAAGTTGTCTCACATTTATTTGACCAGGATGTCCTTTCATGGTAGAACACTTATTGCTATCTCAAAAAATGTCAGGCAGAGGTCAAATAACATAGGCATCAAGAACATGGCCTCTAGTCTATAACTTCCTGACTTCGAATCCTGGCTTTATCATTTACTATCTTTGTAATGTTGGGCAATTTGCTGGGTTCAAATCCCTTTGCACTTCAGTTTCCCCATTTAGAATGGAAACACTAATGATACCCATCCTATGGTGTTATTTTAAAAATTGAAGAACAGAATCAAGAACAGTACTATTATCATCCTGACACAGTTTAAGTAAGAATGAGCTAGCTTAATGCATTCATTCTAGAGATGAGAAAAGTAAGTCCCTAATAGGTTACTCATGTCTCACTGTCTGATTCAACAAACTAACCAAAGGCCAGTATGCCACATGCATGATGAAATTATTCCCAGAAATGAGCAAGGCACAGCTCCTGCCCTGAAAGAACACACACACTAGTGACTGGGCTCTGGTGCCACTCTTTAATAGGGAAGCCGACAACCCTGACTTCTTTTGTCCCCCAGGTCCTCTTATTATTCCAATTATGAATGAGAATGATCTGGGCTACCCAGATGGTAAGCAAGAATAGAGAACATAGAGTACAGCTTATAGATTTATCTTTTAAAATTGAGGCTGAGGGCATATGTTTTAATTCTTTGTTAGTGTGATACTGAGCGAGTAATTGGGAAAACAATTTTGGAGGAGAGCAAACCCTAAACATATAATTTAGAAAGGGAAGTAATGAGTGAGTATCAAGACAACATGTAGGAGTTCCCCAAATGTGGCTTGATGATTTTCTGGCTGCCATGTCACTGATGGTCCTCTATGTATTTGTTTAGGCATCTCATCCGAGGGCTTTCCTGGGGACTGCTCCAAGGAGCAGACAGCAACTAAAGACCTTCCCACTAGAGATGGAGGTTCATGGGTCCTGGGCTATAGATCAGGACCAGCCTATCCATTTCTGCTCCATGAGGAGAAAGAGAAACCAAACAGAAGCGAATTATTCTTGGATCTTCACGTAAGTAGAAATCTTTGTGTATGTGTCAACAAAGGCTCATTTCATATGCATTTAATGTAAATTTGTGTGCGTAAAGCTGCTGAAGCTGCATTTTGTGTGGGGGCCATTGTTTAAAAAGCAACTGTTTGCAGAAAACAGATATATTGCAATGATTTGAAATTTGTGTACTACCCAAAAAAAGTGACTGTGTTTACACTTATTCAGAGTACTCTGTTCATAATCAGCATTGCTGCCTAAACTTCATTGTGGGAGTACACACCTGCTGCCAGTCATCTCTTAATGACATCTTACTAAAAATTTGTGGATGTACATTGGTGGAATGATATGTCCTTGATTCTCAAGTGAAATTCAAATAACTTATCTTCCTTTTATATTCATAAATGTTTCCTTCTTCCTAGCAGCTCAAGTAACAGGTGAACAGGTCAGCAGAATATCTGCCAAATACAGGATGATCCTTTTTAAAAAACACAGGCTGCTTCTTTCTTGTTCATTCATGTGTTCATTGACATAGGAGCATTTACTACCCTGTATAGAGCTGTGGTTTGGGTTTTAGTTGGTTCACATTGAAGATGGCCTGATAGAATTGATCTGACTATCAGAGTTCTCATGACTCCCCTGTAGTCTCCCAGTTTCCTGTCAGAGATAGGGAAGGACATTAAGAATTCAAGAAGACAGTTCCCCCTGCCCCACATTAACTTAATGCCTATTCACAATCTTGTGTTCCTGATTTCTTTTAATTACTTCCAGTTAATAAATTTCAGCTTCAAAGTATGTGTTTGACGAGCTTGGGTTTGGTCTGTGATGTTCATATGGGTGGGGATTTTCTCAAGTAACCAAAAGCAGGAGAATGTGTACTTTTCAAAACCATAAAAACCATAGTCACAGTATGTTGTCTTAGAAAAACATTCTATGATACAACCACTGTGGGAAGCAGTATGACAATTCCTTAAAAACTTGGAATACCATTTGATCCAGCAATCCCGTTACTAGGTATATGTCCTAAAGAAGTGAGAGCCAGGACAAGAAGAGATATATGCACACCCATGTTCATCACAGCACTACTCCCAATAGCAAAAATATGGAAACAACCTAAGTGCTCATCAATAGAAGTATGGATATGAAAACTGGTATATGCACACAGTGGAATACTGTGCGACACTAAAGAATAATGTACAACCTGCAAAACCCTGCATAATGTGGATGAACTTGGAGGACATTATGCTGAGTGAAATAAGTCAATCACAACCTTCTGTGATTGTATTAGTTCATTATTGTAAAAAGTCAAGGAAAGTTTATATATGGAAGGAAACTTTCTTTGTTGGTTACCGGGGTGGGAGGGGGTGAAACACTACACACACACACACACACACACACACACACAAATCATATAAAAAGGCCAAGTTTACTGGTCTGATGTAGCCTAGTGAGACCCTTGAGACTATGGCCCCTAGCCACCCTTCAGGTCTTGAATTGAACTCACTCCTGTGGCTTCCAGTCAAACAATAGACAGGCATATCAGGTGGACATTTACATCAGGTAAATTGCTCCTTGGAGCAATCAATCATGGGAGAATAGAAGGGCAGTGTGTACACAGAGTGAGAGACAGCTAGGGTGGGGAGGGAAGGACACAGGGAAGAGGTAACCATGGGGAAGAAGTGGGAAGGAAGCTTTTATGTTGAGCGGAATTGCAGTCAATATCATGAGACAAAATATGTATGAACTACTGTATGGAAAATGAATTTGCTTTGTAAACTTCACCCAAATTACAATAAAAATTAAAAAAAATGAAAAGAAAAGCATCCTAGTTGTTGTGAAAGGAGATTGGGAATAGATCTGAAATATCACAGATCTACAAATCCTTCAGGAGATGACAAGGAAATGAGTCAAGTTTTGGGTTTTGACCTCAGTATCTACAAAGTAGTCAGCCTGGTGATCTCCTTCTGAAAAATCAAGCACTGAAAACTCTGTGGAGTTCTACTCTGATATACATGGTGTTTCCATGAGTCAGGATTGACTTGATGGCAGCTAGAAAAACTGGCAAATGTACAATTTTGTGCAACTTGAGAGATGTGCTCAGAGTAAGAAGTGTAACAGTGACATCTATTGGTCAAATTACTTTAAGTTGTGCTTGCTGCAAACAGCTGGCCTAGAGTGTAAAAGTACTAAAAAGGATTCTGAAAGACTATTTTCTTTCTTTTTCTTCTAAGCTTTGTTTTTAGCATTTTTTTGGATGTTAGACATTGGCTAAAATATATATATATAGTTTTACTGCTCCTCTATGATAATTTTAACTTAATTTATTATAATTATAAATATCATATACAACCACTATAGAAAATTTGATATATGTAGATAAATTGAAAGAAAAGAAATAACCCACAGTCTCAGAAGCCAAGGACAGCAACTGTTAAACTTTGGTAGATTTTTCTTCATAATTTTCATTATGAATGATTTATTTTCAGTGAAGGATTCTTTTTTTTCTAAACATAGATTTTAAGCATTCTTAATTTTATATCCTTCTTTTTGTCCTTATTCTTTCCTTTTCACCATTATTTACTCTTACATTGCTTATCCATATTGTTGGGATTTATAGATGTATTTTAAGCGTAGATACCACTAAATGATATGCTAAAATTATTTTTCTAATTCTGGATTTTAATTTGTTTCCAGTTTTTCACTGTGTTAAATAGTACTACTACCCATTGCCATTGAGTCAAATTCTGACTCATAGTGACCTTATAGGACAGAGTGGAACTGCCCCATAAGGTTTCCAAGGCTGTTAATCTTTAAGAAGCAGATTCCTGCATCTTTCTCCCAGGAAGCAACTGGTGGTTCATGAACTACCAACTTTTTGGTTAGTAGCCAAGTGCTTAACCATTATGCCGCCAGGGCTCTTCATTTTATTGGTATTTATAATTCACAATAGTACTGATACATATAATTTTGTGCTGTAGCCTCCTTAATACTGAGAATTATTTCCTTAAGATAGATTTCTGAAAGCAGAATTATATATATAAACATTTTTAGACTTTTGATACATATCATCACATAAAAGAAGTCTTACTTCTTGAGCCAGCCTTGGGCTTCAGCTCTGCGTCCAGCTCCTGGCCCACTGAAGCTAGAGGCTTTTCTTCACTCAGACAGCTGCTGGCTGTGGAGACTGACAAGCCCAAGGTTGACAAGTAAAAAGGCACAGTCCCGATGTTACCAAAACATACGGCAGACCATTAATTCAAGTCCATTGTAAGTCTCCAGGTTGGCAGAGCATGGCAGGCAGAATGACATGGCTACATACAGGGTCCAACCGTGCCATAAGCTATTGACCATTCCCCAAGGCTTCTGCTTATATACAGGAAGTGGCCCACATTCCCTAAGGCAGCTATACAGCTGCTCACAGTCGATTCCACCATGGAGTTGATTACCAGTCTCATCATGGGGAATACTACATCCAGCTGCCCAGCCACTCAACCAGGCCCGGCCAAGTTAACACACAAACTGAACTACCACAGGTCTTATATAACAAATCCGTTTCACAAGATTCCCCCACCACCACCGCTTTTTTTTTTTGCCATGGAACCATTTTTAGTATTTATTTATTTTAACTTTATATTGTGATTTAGGTGAAACTTTACAGAGCAAAGTCATTTTCCCTTCAACAATTCATTCACATTTTGTTTCTTGACAGTGATTGCACTTGTCACAATGAGACAACTCTCTTCCCACTTCCTCCCTATGATTACTTTTCCCTGTGTCTGTTGCTGTGCATTCCTACCCTTGGAGCTTTCTCCCTGCAAAAATTCGGCACTTCTGATCTCCCATGGTTAATTGTTCCAAGGAGTGCACCTCCCTGTAGTAATTGTTCACCTCATAGATCTGTCTATTGTTTGGCTGAAAGTTAAGTCAAGGGAGTGAGTTTAATTCCAGGCCTGAAAGATGGCTAGGGGCCATACTCTCAGTGGTTTCACCAGTCTCTATCAGACCAGTAAGCCTGGCCTTTTTTTTTTTTTTTATGATGTTGAATTTTGTCCCACATTTTTCTCTCACTCTATTCAAGATTTCAAGTTTTGATCCCTTTCCAAGTGGTTGGCAGTGGTAGTCAGACACCATCTAGTTCTTCTGGTCTCAGGGTCATATAGGCTGAGGTTCCATGGTCCACTAGTCCCTTGGACTAATTATTTCCCTGTGTCTTTGATTTTCTTCACTCTTCTTTGCTCCAGACAAGGAGAAACCAGTGTTGCATCTTAGATGGCCACTTGCAAGCTTTTAAGACCCTAGCCACCAAAGTAGGACATAGAACAACGTTTTTGTGTAGTATTGCAAAAAGGACATGGGGGTGGCATCCTCTGAATTACTCTAAATTCACGAGAAGGAAAGAATATCACCATTAGCCCAAGGTTGATCCTTATGAGATAGAGGACAAACATGCCATCACCCTCCAACACATTTTTTTTTTTTAACCAATTCTGACACCCACCATCCCTCCCACAGCACACTCTACTTCTCTGCTGGTTTCAATAACTCATTGCAATGGCCACAGAGAACTCACAGACAATGCTCACAATTATAGGGTTTATTAGGTAAGCAACAGGTTATAATTCATGTTCAGGAACACTCAGGGTACAATTCTTTCATCAGGAAGCCCTCCCCTCTGCCATGCCCATAAACACACCTTTCTTTGCCCTTGGCCTCTTAGCCTGGCCTTTGCCCTGCTCGAGCAAGTGTTACAAAGCTCTTTTAGCTCTGCTGATAGGTGTACCCCTCTCCACCAGCAAACCTCCCTCCAGCACTCAGCTTTCTTGCTCCTTGGGTCAGCAAGCCCACTGTCCCATCTTGTGCCAGGCTCTCTGTTTTGCTGCCACCCCCACTCTGGTCTTTCTCTGCTGCCTCAGTGAAGGGATCTCCAGTCTAAGGATGTGCTTCACTCCTGCTTCTTCTCCCTTGATTGCAGTGATATTCTCCTTTTCTGCTTCTAGATGGCTCATTTTAAGGTTAGTGAGATG